TTTCAGAGAAATGACAATTTTGGTTTCGGTATCGCAAAATTAAATATTTAGAGAAAATAGTTGTTTTTCTACAATTTGTCAAAAAACAAAATTGCTATAACCAAATATCTCGACAAAATAAAATAACTGGATGGTTGAAACTTGGATTTATCGTTATCATATACATCACTTCTTTTCTGCTTATCCACTTTAATCCATTCTTTTGTCATTCAAAACAAATACGGAAAATAATCAGGTCACAGAACAAAAAAATACGTCTACAACTACATTCACTGGTCCCGCTGTCGAAGTATAAAAAGTGCGATTTTTGTATTTCTAACCATTAATAATTCCACTATTCTTTTTTAATTTCTGAAAAATGATTTTTAGATACGGTAGGCGTTCGCCATAGTTTGTGTAGCAAATCACAATCTTTCTTGATAAAGCTTTACTGATTACTCATCATGCAGGACTACAGCATTCCAGGACAAATTTGCCTCATTATAACATTCATAAGGTTGGATCGACAAATGTCTAATAAACCGAGTGTTAGCCGAAATCAGTTACACTGCTAAGTTTGAATGTAATTGCTTCCTAATCGATTAATTAGGAGATAAGTAATTCCTTCCCAACCAGTTAATTACTAATTAGGCAGCAACCTTCTCCAATCAATTGGGCAGAAACTTTTTTCACGAGTTAAGGCCTCTGGATTAAACTTCATTCAGCATTACAAAAGACTACTCGATTTCAGGGAAAAAATATGATAATATTTCATTAATTTCTATTTATTAGTATTTTTCAAGCTTTCTATGGCTCCGTGAAAAATGGCTCACATCCTTACTTTCTTTTCATTAATTTTCAACTTATAAGCCAGATTCTTTACAAAAGGCATGATAGTGAGAGAGATCATAAACTAAATCCATGAAGATCAGTATGGAATTTGAACAAATTCATTCATAAATGCCATTATTTCAACAATGAATACAAAAAATTAGCAAACTAAGTCGTTCCGGATCGAATCCGGTTCAATATCTCCAGTTGAAATTGGAGTAAATTAATGACGTGCAACAAATACTTTGCAGAAATATCGGTTCAACATTTTAACAGCGACTTCAGATATGGCAAACCTTGTCGAAATTTTTGTTTTCGTCATTTGTTGTGGTGCAATGATGCCGCCTGCTGCACCAGGTCCCGGAGGAGGTATTCATCCCACCACTTTTTATCATTCCATTTGTTTCCACATGAAATGAAGTTGATGGCATATTTTACTTTTACCATCACTCCCTGTCATTGCATTCATTACTTTGCCGGTAATTTGAGTTGTAATTGGTATCAGTACGAATGTCACAGACGTTTATTCTTTACCACGAAGGTAACGAGAGTAGAATAATTGATACTCAAATGGTTTGACGGAATGGAATTCATAAAATGTATAAACGAGAATTTCATCCTATCCTAATTGGATGATTAATCAAAGACACAGTAACAAACTCAAAGATTAATACTTTTTCGGCAATATTATGCCGATAAGTCCTGACATCAATTTCAGTTATGGCTATTGCTATGCATGGTGAAGCTGACAAGTTGTGGGACAATGACCAATTAATAGAGACAATGCAATTAGAATGTATGTTTACATCATGGAGAATTACATACTAGTACTGTTTAATGTTGAGTGATTGCTCATTTCAAAAACATTCAAATTGACAGTTCTTTCTATCATAGTAAGCAAATTTCTGATTCATTCATT